TGTTTGCCGCATGTGGCTATGTGTGTGTGTGTGCATGTGTGTGGGAAGTGGATGCAGCGCCCCAACGGCTGATCGGACCTCACCCGCGCCATGGCACATGGATATGCACACGGGCGCGGCGTCGTCTCTGCGGTGCACGCCAGGAAGCCTGATATGGTTCGCCCTCAGGCACTCGCGCATTCCTTGCTCTCGCCCTCGCCCGCGCCCTCGACGACCATGGCGGTGCCGACACATGCGACGCCGGGTATATAGAGGTACTATGCGCCGCCCCCCGCCGGGCCAGGCCAGCCAGCGCCCCCCCGCCGCCGCCCGCACCATGGCCAGCGTTTGCTTTGGATCAATGTACTGTACACAGAGTTTGCCTCGCCCGACATGCACCATGCTATGCCACGCCAGCCCCTCCCCAGCGCATGTCCGCCCTTCCACTACATCTATTGCTCGCATCGTCCGGTCAATCCCTTGCCTGCCTGCCTGCCTGCCTGCCTGCCTGCCTGCCTGCTACTGCTGCTACCACTACTGCTGCTGCATGTCCATCAGGCTACCGGCCCTGCATCCATCGAGCTGCCCGTCAAGTCCACCGCCGTACCAAGGCTGCGAGTGGGCCCGCCGCCTAACCAGAGCTCTGCACTCCCACTCCCACTCCCACGCCTGCGCCTGCGCCTGCAACGACCAAAAAAGAAAAGAGAACAAGGCGACAACAGAACCACAAACACGGCCCCAGGTCCACGACGCATCCATCCCTCCGAACCCCGGCTCGCCGATGATCGCCTGGCCCAGGTTTGAAACAAACGTTTCCAGAAGCTGGCCACGCCACGCCAGGGTGCGACGTCGTTAGCTGTATCGCCCATCTCCATAGCAATGGCAATAGCGAGGGCGCCGTCGAGGCCCGGATGCGGAATGCGCCGCCTCTGAGCGACATATGTACATACACAGAGACCGACCACCACCACTTCGCTGGCCCTAGCCTGGCGCACGCATACTTGGTGTATTGGCTGGTACGCGGCTGGCGTCGCGCCTTTGCATACGCCGCACCCGCGCCGCCTCGTTGGCTTCCTCAGCAACGCCGTGTTTACACGCCCAGCATCTAGGCGCCCACGGCCTTCGGACAACTGTCACTCCATCTAGCATGCCGATGCGCAATCGTCATGGCGGAGCATGGCAGGTGACGTTGGATGCAAATGTCGATCGTCGCGGACACTGGCGGCATCTCGCCCAAGCAGGCTAAGCACCCACGCCATGGGTCATGCGTGACATCATCGCCGCGCCCGGCCTCATCACCACTCGTCCGCGACTTCGTGCGCTCTGCTGTCAAGCTTTTCCAGCGCCTCATCCACCACACTGACGACGTGGGTCCTGTCTATACATTAATCGCGCCTTGGTCCCCTGCCACGGATCTGCTGCCGTCTCTTTTTTTTCCATTGCCGACTTCACTCCTACCTCGCCATTCTCTGGGTCGCGTGCTGCCTTGCCTCACACAACAACCGTCTTTTGCACACGCATTGAACACCGCCATCGTTCGCGCTGCACGCTGCCCCCTCCCCGCGCCCCTGGCCCCCCCCCTCCGAGATGCTGGGACTTTC